ATTAACTAACAAGATAATTCGATATCAAATAAAACATAAACTTTGATATAAAATTTGAAATGGAATTAATCGTTGTGAATATTTTACCGGTTTCTGCTTGTCGTTGTACTCTTGACATCCAATGTCATAGCTGAGACAGACCCACTTCAAAACCTAGCTTCGTAAGTAACGCCTCTACTCTGAACAATTTAAATCTTAAAAATGATTTTGTTGTCAGTGAAACAGGCATACTCAGGTTGGTAGCTCGATCGATGCTCTTCCTTTGAGCTACAGGTGACTCGTGAGATATCTGCAGAGCCGTTAAACTAGGATCATGACGGTGAAAATTAACAATCCGGTACACCTCTAGGGTTAGAATGTCGATTTGAAGCTATAAAAACGCCAATAAACATGTTACAGTTAGGAACTGGGAAAACGCGCTTTGATGGAATTACAAGACATCTTCTGTTTGCGGGCTGCCTTTTTATTGATTTTTCAAAGAAGCATTTACTTGTCTCGTTTCCGGTTAACGTTTCGCTCGCATTGTGTTATTAGCAATACTATGATTCCAAAAAAAACAAAAAAACCAACAGCTTTGGCAATCTGATTCTTGAAATACTTGTCCTCCCTCCCATAGTTTGTAGGAACCTTTTCTTTAATATAATTTTATATATTGTATCAATATGAAATAGTAATTGGATTGAATGGAACACAATTCAAGGCGGTAGTCGGAAGAGTATTTTCGAAATCGGACGACTGCACAGTGCAAGGCCGATTTCTAGTTACAAGCACGAAACTTTCGAGTAAGATTTTAATTTTACGAGGTTGTAATTTTATTTGAATTCGAAGTAATAAATTCAGAAAGACGAGTAGCCTATATTTCCCATCTGTTGACTTTATGTTTAACTACCTGATTACTGGCAATAATTTAGAAATTATGTGCGTTCATCAATTTTTTTGGACAATAACTGAGCTGGATGAAATTGATTTTCAAGAGAGCTGAGCCTGTAGCTAGGCTGAGCCAAATATAGTCAGATGATATATATATAACCATAGATAAATTTTGGCTTTATCACTTTGTCTTGTTAGTAATGAATCGAAACTGTGTTAATAAGTCAGAAACGTACCTTTGTTCTTTCACTGAAGATGTGGATCAATATAATTAATGCAATGTATATTTTTCCCGACAGTCGGTTAAATTCAAATCAGTACGGACGCAAAAAAGGAAACAGAAATGATTTTAAAACTGAGTCAGTGTTCATATAATTTAAAACGTGTAAAGCTAATAATACTCAGAGATACACTTTAATGGAGTTTCCACTGTTTGTCTTGAAATGAAACTTTATAGCTTAAAAGGTTCCTTTGTCCGTTAATTGAAGACGTTGTCTAATGTAGAAAAACAACCCGCTTTTATTTGAAGTTAATTTTTTATAAAGTAGCTTATAATCCTTTAAACCAAGAGCTACAAAATTTATTTCATGGCTTTAGATGTAGTGAATTTCACACTAATTTGAAAAAATAATTTAATTTTTTAACATTCTGGTTTGATAACTGGGTCATAACTGCTTAAGATTCTTGTCTCACACAACTCTGAGGTCAAGATGGAGGCAATCGCTGTGAAAATTCTGCTTTTCCTGCTAATTGTTGGACTTATAGCGTCCAATGTTGTGGATGGAAGCCGGCCAATGCACATAAACAACATAAATGGTAAGAAACGAAAATGCTTACTTTTGCAAACTCAAGAATTTTTGAAGTTAAAATATTGAAATAAGCTTATCTCTTTTTCGGTAGGGAACTGGTTAAAAGAGCAAGAAATTAAAATAAAATACGTCTAACGGTTTTTTAGCAAGTAAATTGCACATTCATTTGACTAACTTTCTGAACTCTCAAACCGAGAGGATAACTTCTTTGATACATGTGCAAGACCTTTTCCATATAAGTCTAAATCTACTAGGGCTTTATCACGAATGCCGTTCCCTTATTGGCTACGCTACTCCCAATTCATTTTGCTGTAGATAGTGAGTAGCCCAGCGGTGTGCTGTTGTTAACAAAATGACGACAACTTCTTTGGGTTTTCAAAGTGTCTGCGAAGACGATTTAGGCTCGTTAACTTTCAAAACAGCATCTGGACCAGTGAATATTTTTAAATATTCAGGTTTGTTAAATTTAGTTACGTTACTGTAGCTTTCTTTAAATCAGAAAGCAAAAGAATAAGAACGAAAATAATGGTGATCGTAGTTAGCTTCGTAAAAATCTGCGTCACTTCGAGCAAAATCATAGTCAGAAAAGGATTAAGAGCAAGCCTGCGCTAAGCACTCATTCAGATATCACTTTTCCTTGAAACCTAATGACTGAAAAGATTCTTAAGTGCCTTTTTAACGAATGAAGTCCGCCTTTATAGCTAGTGAAACCTGCTTCTCTGTTGGTTCTTACCATCGAAATTGTTTTTCTGCTATTGCAAGTGGGTTATAGTTAAAGCATAGTGTAAACTGCAGATTGCTTTGGATGACTGAAAATTAAAACATCAAATTAGAACGAAAAAAGTCTAAAAATGTAAAATATGTAAGGCACATTAAAAGGCCATTCAATTAGTTGGAACGGATACTAAATCACACATTAGGGAGCGTGTTTTGAATTTCTGAAGCATGAGGTGAGTTGCCTCTATTCTGTCTGACGACATTCAGTAACCTACCGTGTGATTGGTCAATCAATTCAACCGCGGCAACCGTCCATATGAAGACATTTTGGCCATAATTAACTTGGTCTAAATTTTTCTCATTCGCCTTTGACGACTGGTTAAGAATCGTCTCTTACTCAACTCTAAAGTCAAGATGCTGTCTTTTGTTGTGAAAATTTTGCTTTTCCTGCTAATTTTTGGACTGATAGCGTCCAATGTTGTAGATGGAAGCCGGTCAATGCCAATGAAGACCAAAAATGGTAAGAAATGAAAATATTTACTTTTGAAAGCTCAAGCATGTTTGAAGTTAAAAAATTTCAAATAACCCTTTTTCCACAGTAGGAAACTGGATTTCACGTTTAGAAGAGCTAGAAATTAAGGATTTTATGGTTTATGAACCAGTAAATTCGCACTCATTTGAAATGTAAACTTTCTGAATTCTCAAACCCGACAGAACAGACTCTTTGATAGATGAATTTTATTTATTCCAAACTATAACATCACATTTAACTTCCATGTAAGAATATGAAAGATATATAATTTAGATCTTTGAAATCGATTAGAAACTGTCATGCAGTATTTGAACTTAAATTGTTTACATTAAGTTTCAAAATCATAAACAGCCTCCCGACCACTGAATATTTAAACAAACAAATCTGGCATATTGGTGCGCCTCTACTTTGATACGTTACTGCAGCATAATCAAAAAGCAAAAATAAGAATGAACATAAATGTGATTGTGACTCATAAAAAACTGTGTCACTTCGCGAAAAATCCCAGCACGAAAAAATTGAAATAAAAACACTTGGGCTAAGCGCTCATTCAAAGATCGCTTTCCCTTGAAACCTAATAACTGAAAAGATTCGTTTTGCCTTTTTAACGAAGTCTGCCTTTATAGCTTGTAAAATCTGCTTCTGTGTAGAAGAAATACATTCAGTAGGTTCTACACTCACAATTATTTTCCTTTTCTGCAAGGTGGGTAAGAATTAAAACACGGTACTTTTAGACACAAGAAGAGCACGAGTTCGTCAATCGGATGTGATTAGTAAGTTTCGATCTATCGGTAAAATTAGGTCGTTGTGTTCAGTTCGTCAGTTATGTTATAACTTTTGATATTTTATTTGTCAACTAGGCGAGGAGGAACAAGAGCACAGCAGTAAGAACAGCACTTACAAACACCGCAATCAAGATGGCACTGTGACTGGTCAGTTTCGATCCATCGGTAAAGTTAGCTCGTTCTGTTCAGTTTGTCAGTTAGGCTATAACTCTAATTTTGATATCTTATTTGTCGACCAGGCGAGGAGGACCATGAGCACAGCAGTAAGAACAGTACTTACAAAAACTCCGACAAAGATGACACGGAGCTTCGAGCAGTTGTCCCCCAGATGGTTTTTAATAATCCTGACCAGCAATGCTACACTCAATTCTTTGTAGGTGGAGCTCCACCAACAGGTCTGCGAACTGGCCAAAACTTACAGAGTATAAAGTACATCTGCCAAATGGTGAATCAGCAGACTTACTATGGGACCATGTTTGACGAGGGTCGCGGTATTGCTGTGTACTCAGGCTACACATTGACAGGGGCAAATGTGAATTTTGTTCCGAATCGACCAAGACCACAATGGAGACCAACAGAAGGTAAATACAGCTTACGCGAAGTATAAAATAAGACAGTGACCATCACAAATTAGCTAATACACTGAAGAATAAACCGCGGACAAACAAAGGGTGATAGCTGCCGATGCTAAGATATTTTTTCGAGAGGACTTTACATAAGCTACCACCATTTCAGTAGGTTAGACCCCCGGGGTATTTCCATGTATGAGCAATATAGGCATGTGCGGCTCCAAAGAGTAAGGTTTTTTTTAGCAGTTTTGGTCAGAAATAGGGTATCGATTTTGGCCATTTTGGTCTCAACAGGAGCCATAATCGGGGACGGAGACCGTAAGTCTTGGGATCCACGCGCACCTATGATATGGGACAATTTTGCTATTTTTAGAACAAATTGCGCCACCCTGACGACATATATCCGCGCGGATCCACGCACATGTCATGGGTTCTCGCGTGGATGTTGTCATGTTGCGTGATCAAATAGCAAGAGTTGCGAGATTCTCTAGCGGATTTTTCACAGCGATGGCAGGGAATAAGGCAGGGACTGAGAACCAGGGCGCTTATATGTAGTTTTATGCTCTGAGCTAAAGGAAAAGGTAAGTTTTACAGAGTCGAAAAGGAGACTTCAATTTCGCGCTGTGAATGAATAATATCTGCTCGCGCTAGTTGAACGCGTAAGCTTTTGTGTGTGTTCTTTAAGAAGAAAGCTTCGCAAGAAAACTCTGTAATCTGTTATCGAGTTGATTTGCGAGTTTCTCAAACAGTGCTTAATCATAACCAAAACCTGTTTTTGATAGTTTCTTATTGTTTCTGCTTGTCTGGCGAGTTTTCAAAAGTTTTTTGAAGGAAAGTCTGAGGCGTACAAGTAGCTCATTTGCATAGTGCAGCGCGTGCACTTTTAAGTCCGAGTCGGTGTTTTCAGTTGTCAACGAAGCTTGACAAAGATTTCCTTTCGTTATCGTTTTTTTTGTAGACTTTCCACAAGTCGACCTCTTCTTAATCCTTGACTTATTTATCTCCCTCGAGCGAAGCGAAAGGGTAATCTTTGCACAGGATCTTCGAGCGACGAAGTCGTGAGGGCGAGCGCGAGCGAGGTAAGTCGCGAGAGGTCGACTTGTTTCACTTGCAGGAATGTGAATCAGAGTCTAAATTTTTGGCGCGAAAATCATGATTGACATTTCTCACTTTTCATGTGTTCCGCGCGCGATCGTCGCGAAAGCAGAAAATGATTTTCATCAAAACGTTTAAGAGTACTGTTCCCTAACTCAAATGAATTTATTTGTGTACAGTGCAGTATGTAGCCAGCAGGCAAACGGCAAAAGCTGTTCCGTTGAGTAAGGCCTCCTGAAAAGACAAAACCGTGTTTAAACCGATCGGGAATTATTTGTTTTAGTCTAGGTTAACCAGCGAGCTACTAGAGAGCTGCTTGACAAACGCGATAAACTTACTATGTAGATCTAGCTTGTACCGACAAGAATCCGAATTTACTAAAGAAGACGGAATTAGTCGGGGAGAACTTTAGGTGTAATTCTGTAAAGCTCTCTTGATTAAATAACGTTGAGAATCGAAGTCGCAACGAACGGCAGAAAATCAAAGCGCTGTTCCCAAAAGTCCTTCATCGATCGATGAGTGCTTTCAAAACGGTTAAGTCGGTAAAACGGCCGATGCAAATTTGCTGCTATGCCCTTTCTTTGTAGAGAAGAAACTTGGTCATTCATTAAATCAACTAAAACTGCAACAATTACGCAAACTGCAGGGATGGCTTTGTTCTTCTTGGAAAGGTCCAAATTTAATTCTCTCAAACGATCCGGATCACGCAGGAGCTAAGATCGCGTCCGTAAGTAAACAAATACGTATTGATCGGATAAATAGCCTTCCACTGCTTTTCGGTGTCCTTCTTTCACAGACTTGAAATTAAGTTGGATAGACCATATTCAATTGCTTCCATAACATTCGTATCCTCAAGCATATCCGAGAACAAAAGCTAAATGAAAAAGATTTTTATAGCACTTGAAGGCTTTGCTCTGCGAGTGTGTCGTTGATCGCGCGCTCGTCATGACGTATAGTCAGTACTTGTTTGTTCATTGGTTAATGTGTATTTAGGTCACCGGTGGAAAAATATACCGGTAAAATTTGGCGCGCTGCAAGTGGGAAAAGTCCTTTCCAACGGCAAAACCATCAGGCCAGGGAAGAATTATTGGAAAGGACTTTAAGAAAGTCTATCTTTTTTGCTGAGAGGCTACAATAATTTTCACCAACGCAAAAAGGCTACTAACATCATGTGTGTTTCTTCAACATAGTGAAATTTTACACTGCGAAAATAAAATAGCAATGGAGTTTTGATAACTCGACCAACAAAATCGAAATCCTTATTCGAGTTGATTAAAGAAAGCGTCATCGTAACTTTGCTGGTTATCTCTGTTGTATTCACATGTTTTCAGTCAAGCTTTTAATATATTCTCAAACATTTTTTAACCTTAAACATATTTAAAAGCTAGAGATTTCCGCACGAAAGTGCGGAAGTCCAATTTGCCATGTTTACTGACTGTACAAAACACGCATCGGCGGTTGCTATCATTCATTGACAACAGACAATTTATTCAATTTTTACACAAACAAAACTGAGCAGTATCTACAGACGTAAACTTATTGGGCCTTGGTGAAACATCAAGCGTTGTTTACAATTCAGGCGAAGCTTAAACTTGCAGTTCTTTTTTACCTTTCGGCAGAGTGGCGATAGATAGATAGGGTGGCGAAATCCCCACAAGAGGGTCATGAAGGGGGGTACCAAATCCCAGTTCCCAGCCCAAATTTTTGCCAAAATCCCACTTCTTAGCTTAAATTTGGTCCAAATCCCAGTTAACAAATCTAAAATCCCATTCCCAGTGATTGTTTGCAGACTAATATGTATAATTAATGAAAGCGCGGACTGACGTCGTTTGGATTCACAAATGCTGAAATCGAATAAAGTGACCCTTTTTCTACAAATCGGATGAATTTTTCAGGCAAATAAGCTATTACCTAGCCTTTTGTTTTGACTGAGGAAACTCTCTCATTCTTCTGATGAGCAGTCTTTGTCTTCCAGTCCCTGTTGGCATAACCATATTGAAACCACTTGTATCATCTGCACAATCCTCGTCAGACTCACTGTCTCCACTTTCGCTACTGCTGTACTCGTCACGTTCCCGCCACGTGCAAACATGCACATATAATTCCATCAACAACAAACCGCTGACCGGGAAAACAGACAGAACTTAACAATATATTAATACTGTGTGAAGCCTGACAGCTAGAACGCGGAAATTAAAAAATATAATGATTCCATGTGTCTACTGAGGTCTAATGATGCTGAATTTCAATTCTTTATTCAAAAGAATAGGCTCAATGAAGCAGTGGTATCAAAAAATAACGTCAAAGAGCGCTAAAAATAAAAATCCCTTTCCCATTTTCGAAATTGTTTATCCCATTCCCAGTGGTTGAATCCCAGTCTCAGTGCAGTAAATCCCATTTTCCTAGCCAAAAAAGGGGCAAATCCCAGTTCCCATTTTACCCCTTCATGCCCCTCCCGCAAGAGCGTGGCAAGAGGAGGAAAACTTTGAAGTCCTGAAACGCTGCTATATCCAAATATATCTAACTAGTTTTTTGCTGTGCTATGGAAAAGCTTTTAATCTTCTGTCAACATATGTGAAATTTAGAGTGGAGTAATGTCGAACTCTTGTAAAAGGAGTAGCGGAACACAACTTGGTCAGTGATATAAAGCGGGACATGCCTAAACTCTACACTGTCTTACTTCACTCAAACTAGAGCAGCTTACAACGAAAATACTTAAGCAAAATTCCAACAAACATAAACNTAAATTCTACACTGTCTTACTTCACTCAAACTAGAGCAGCTTACGACGAAAATACTTAAGCAAAATTCCAACAAACATAAACATATTGAGTTGTGAGCCAAAAACATCAAAATTTCGGGAATTTCGGACGCCATATCTCCCACGCTACATCCCCCAAAACCCTCGCAACATGTACGCGCGTGTGCCGCACGCGATGGCGCAATTTGTACTAAAAATAGCAAAGTTGTCTCGTATCATAGGGAGAGCCCCAATACTAGAAATGGCGCGCGCTTACGGTCTCCGCCCCTGATTATGGCTCCTGGTCTCAAATAAGGAATGGTTTTTGCCCTCTAGTCCTGAATTGAGTATGTCTTTTAGAAGACGCCCTTAACAATGTCTTTAACATAGGTCTGAATTAGTGAACTAATTATAAGGCAGGTCTGAAACAGGGTATTGATTTAAGGTGGCTCGTACCAGTTTTCTCGCGCGGGGAGTAGATCGGGGAGTAGGCGCGAGATTTAAAACCCGAAAGACTAAAACAAATATGGCGGCGCGCGGCTTTTTTCGCGCAAGGTCACTTTTGTACTGTTGGAAACGAAATTCGCATACAAAGGAGGATTTACCTGCTAGAAAAACTTTAGTCAATTTTGTGTATTTAAGAAAAATTGTTTCGGGAATTCAATGTTTCCCAAATTTCAAAGGAAATTCGATCGATCGCGACAGCCGCCGGGAGCGTATAAAGGACTCCCAAAANCTTTAGTCAATTTTGTGTATTTAAGAAAAATTGTTTCGGGAATTCAATGTTTCCCAAATTTCAAAGGAAATTCGATCGATCGCGACAGCCGCCGGGAGCGTATAAAGGACTCCCAAAACATAGCAAATCTACCCAGAATTTGTGTGAACATCCTACAGAGTAAGCCCAGGAGGTTGTCTTTGACGACAACTACAACTGTAAATGAAGTTTTAGCAGCAAACAAAACAAGACGCCTGTTCGGAGCCCGCTCGCCCGCGCGGGCACACGAAGCAGTCAGCGGTAGTCAAAACAGCTCATGAGTAACTGCTGATCTTACAAAGTCTGGATTTTTGAATGCGTGTCTACGCGCGTGGGAATGACGGAACTCGCGAAGGCTTTTACATGAAAACAAGCCCAGTGACCCCTTCGTTTTATTGTTTTAATACAATATTATTATTGACAGGAAGCGTCAGAAAAAAAAATCAAAAAATTCTACGGAAGGAAATTTGCACTTTGTGCAAATTGTCGTTTTTCCAACTTTACAAGAAATCGGCTCCGTAAATTATTTTAAAATTGTTGTGCATTTTCATTTTCAGATGCCAAAAGCTGTTGATTAAAAAAAAATCGGGGTCACCGAGTTAATTTTTTAGTTATTAGTGACATAAGCGAAAAATAAGGTCTGGAAAATCCTTTTAGAATGTTGCCATGGTAACTTAAATAGGTATCGAATGTTTTGCATGTACTTTTTTTAAGCATCTAATGTTTGATCTAAGCAATCACTGAGGAGAAAATCGAGAAAACGTCGCTCAATTTTAAAGTAGAAGAATACTTTTGTGTTTTCTTTGTCATTACAAGATGTTTCTAGGATGCAGTATTCAACCGTAGGCATACACATGAAATTAAAAGGGATACCATTTTCTATGTAACGCATACGAGAGGGGTACCTTTTTGGCCAGAAGTGATATATCGGAGTAAGGGATTGAACTTTCTTGGAGAGGCATCCCCGTACAAAATTGTCTTTAGTATACCTCCTCCTTGGGATAATTGTTCGTTGCATAAATTAGCTCTAAAGTAAGATCGAAGGCGCACGAGCGTGACTGTCCGTACGTACGTAAGTGCAAAGTTGACCGCCGACAAGGTACTAGTTTTTCGATTAGATCGCGGGCTCAAACTAGGTGTTTACTCTGGGGTAGAAGGGTGAGGTACGTGCAAAGGCAAAATTTCCACGCAAATTATTCCCTGGCGCGTTGTTGGCTTTTCTTCCGACATATTCCTTGCACAATCATGTCTTGGAAAGTCTTTGATATATTACGTACGTAATTTCTAGAATCTTGGGTATAGCTTGTTAAAATTTAACTTGAAAAATAGTGAAAACCCACGCTGAACAATTACATGCTCACAACTGATCATTTTTTGAGTTTCTGATCTAAGAAATTAAATCCTTTTTTTCCTTTTTGGTTATGTATTGCTATCAGGAGCTCCGCTTTTAGGCTTGGCTAAATCTATATATGAGATCACAGAAGACGTAAAAATGTGGTAAGAACATCAGTGACACACTCGGCCATTGCCTCGTGTCCCATCTGTCATCTGTGATCTATTACTGAGCAGACGCACGGCAACATGGAATCTATTTGTTAAGTATGACGGTCTGTCTGTCGATCGGTCGGTATATATTTGCATTTGTGTCGGCACAATCCAATCCAATCCATTTCAATCCATTCCAGTTCAATCCAATCCAAACCAAAACCAAACCAAACCAAACCAATTTAGTGTAGTCCAATCCAATCCAATCCAATTTAATCCAATTCAACCCATTGCAATCCTATCCAATCCAATGCAATACAATGTAATGCAATGCAATGCAATATCTTTATTAAGGACTCCTGATACTTAATTTACAATACAGTCAATTGGTCAGCCGACCTATATGTATGTCTGTGTATCTGTTTGTTTTTTTGTTTAATTGTTTCTTGGTCGTCGCCTGGTCGGTCGTTTTGCCTTTTTGTATGTCTGTTGGCCTGCCGTGACACTCTGAGATAAACTGTCTACATGTAACTCTAGTATTTTAATATTGTTTTCAATCTTAAACTAAAGGTATCGCGAGGCAAGGAAGCTTTCAAATATACCATAAGCCATATGACAGAGGTCATCTCGTGCCAGGAGCAACTTACTCCGCCACCCTAGACAGATTTCGTTCCACTTTCGTGTACACCAACGCTGTACCACAACGCCAAACTTTCAACCGTGGTCAGTGGTCCCGGTTTGAGAGGAGAATACGAGTTTATGCTCAACAATGCACGCAGGGACCCCAACCTGGAACTTTGTATCTGATAACCGGTACTGCATTCGGTCACATTCAGGACAACCCTCTGCACTACAACCCACAAGTACTAGTCAACCAACTGGGTGCAAATGAAGTTTATCCTGCTATAGCTATTCCCAACTCCATGTGGACTGCTGGCTGCTGTGTGCATCCAAACGGTATTGAGAGCTTTGCAGTGATT